AAATACTTTTTTATTATTACTTAATTGATTATATCAATTACACCATTGTATAGATACTTCTAAATAACAACACAATTAGATTCACCAAGTTATTTATTCTTTTTATTCTGAAAATAGTTCTTGTTATTTATCAAATGAAAAATATACTAAATGATTATTTTTTATTATACACGATTATATTCATAATGTCTTTTCCATTCATTTTAAACTTTTTAAAAAAACTATTTGACAAAATCCAGTAATTTTTTTATAACAAAAATATCTAAATAAAAAAATGTGAAGATCTCTAATTATCCTAAATCTAGAAGAAATAGAAGACTTTAAAAACATTTTCAATTGATTTTTATTCAAAAACATTTTTTATTTTAAAAACTTTAAAAAAAAAACAAAAAAGAGGGTTTTTATTCTCAACACACTTAACTAACCTTTAATAAATATCACATAATGAAACAATTAGATGGTTATTCGTTATTGATTTGTAGTAAATATTTTCGATACAAAAGTGATTTTATTAATGTTATTTGTGTATGTAAAAAATTTCAAGAAACATTAGAAAAGTTTAGATACAATCCAATCTCAATATCAAGTCTTCGTCTCTTTCCTAAGATTCAGACACAATGCCTATACCATAAAAACGAAATTCGTCTTCCGGTAGAAAGTTATTCATTTTATTATTTTTTGACTTACAAAGAAGCACTTAAACAAATAAAAAATTTTAATAAATGTCATAAAATTATTTATACTCGTTCAGACCGTGAAGAATTCGGACCTGACATTTCACAAAATCTTGCTATTAAAGCTTTAGGTGATAAATGTTTTGAAGGTACTCCAATTCAAGAAATTACCATTCCAAATACTATTAGAAAAATTGGACAAGAAGCATTTAGTCAATGTACTCAATTAACTCAAATACAACTTCCATGTACATTAAAAGAGTTACCAGTTTGTACATTTTTTAACTGTATAAAATTAGAGAAAATAGAAATTCCATCATCTGTTTCAATTATTGATGGAGCATGTTTCTTTGGTTGTAGTCAATTAACTAAAGTAAATTTTCCACAAAGTATTATATCTATTGGGTATGAAAGTTTTGCATTTTGTGCAAGATTAAAAGAAGTTGTTCTTCAAGGGTCATTATATACATTATTTAGTAAAAGTTTTTTTGGATGCACAGCACTTAGTTCAGTCTATCTTCCAGACACTGTAAAATTTATAGCTGATTCATGTTTTGAAAATTGTAGTAGTTTACAAAATATTAACATTCCATCTTCAGTAGTTATGATTAATCAAAAAGTATTTAAAAATTGTATATCTTTAAAAGAAATAGAAACTCCACCATCAGTAGATTATATTGGAGAACAATGTTTTGAAAATTGTTATTCATTAACACGTTTAAAAATATCAGATGCCACAGTAAATATATCATGTAATTGCTTTTTTAATTGTACTAGTCTTAAAATATTAGAAGTCCCATTAAGAAATAATGAATATCCATTTGATGTATCTTATTATGATAAACAAATATTAGAACGTTTTGGTATTAAATGTGTTCATATTAATTCTTTTAGTGGTGGTTCAGTATTAACATATGACCCATTAACTCATGAACCTAAAATACCTGATGATGCTTTAATTATTGGTAAAGATTGTTTTAAAAATATTAGAGAAATTCAATCTATCTGTGTTCCAACAAACATAGTTATTATTGATTCAAATGCTTTTGTTGGATCTTTTATCACATCTATTTATATTCCTACATCAGTTACATGTATTATTCCTGGAGCATTTAGTGATTGTGTTGGACTAAAAGAAATTCAATTACCATCATCAATTTTAAGTATTAGTAGTAAATCGTTTATGAACTGTTCTTCATTAACTTCGGTTACAATACCATCAACAATTACTTCAATTAATGCAAATGCTTTTGAGTCTTGCATAAATTTAAGTACTATTTCTCTTCCTCCTCATTTAGTTAAACTTAAAAAGAATGCATTTTCTGGTTGTGCCCAATTAAAAGAAATACTTTTACCTTCTTCTTTAAAATATATTGAAGAAAAATGTTTTTCTGATTGTGTTAATCTAACATTTCTTTCAATTCCAACAACAGTTACATATATTGGAAAAGATATTTGTTTAAATTGTAGAAGTCTTAAAAGTCTTATTATTCCATTAGAAAAAGATTTGTCATATAAATATAAAGTTAGTTATCAACAATATCAAATATTTTCTTCATTAAATATTCATTGTACAAATGTCCAATTTACTGAACATGATTACTTACGTAGAAGAAATAATAATACAGATAATATTATTCCAACTGATATTAATCTTCATATATCTAAATTGTGTTTTTCTAAATCATTTGAAAATAGATTTATTCTTCCACCAAATGTTATATCTCTTGGAAAATCTTGTTTTCAAGCATCTAGCAATATAACTTCAATTACACTTTCTACAAATATTACTAAAATAAATTCTTATGCATTTAATGGATGTGTATCTCTTAAAAAATTAATAATTCCTTCTTCTGTTCAATACATAGGAAAATATTGTTTTAAAAATTGTGACAATTTAACGTCACTCTCTCTTCCAACAAATTTACTTCCATATACTTCATTAGTTAGTTATTCTGAATATCTTTTATTAAAAAGAAATAATATTGAATGTCTTAATATTGCACAAGTAAATGATGATGAAATTTATGATTTAAAATATTTACCTTCAGAAATTAAGACATTAAATATTACTTATTTTGATTTTTATTCAAAGGAAATTACTATTCCTTCTCATATTACTAAAATAAAAGTTGGAGTTTTTTATGATTGTTTCCAAATGTCTAGAATTCAAATTCCTTCAAATGTTGTCTCAATTAAAAGAAATGCTTTTTCCAACTGTATTTCATTAAAAAGTATTGAATTATCTCCTAATCTTAAAAAATTATCATCATCATTATTTTATTATTGTATTTCATTAAAATCTATTGAAATTCCATCTAAAATAACTAAATTATCTAACAACGTTTTTGCTGAATGCCATTCATTAAGTCAAATTTATTTTTCAAATCAATTAAAAAAAATTAAAGAGTGTTGTTTCTTTAATTGTAAACATCTTTCTTCAGTAACTATTCCATCTTCAGTTACAAAATTAGGAAAAAGATGTTTTGATTTTTGTCTTGGTCTAGAGGAATTTAATTTTGAAGAACATTGTCAAATTAAAAAAATTCCAGAAAATTGTTTTAGAATGTGTGATAAATTAGTATCATTTAATATCCCATCTTCTATTGAAATTTTAGATAACTCATGTTTTTATAAGTGTTTTGGATTAACATCTATTCACATTCCTTCTAATGTTAAATCAATTGGAATGTGTTGTTTTAAAAGATGTTATTTTTTAAAAGAAGTAATTTGTGATCAAATTCAAGAAATTGATAAAGACTGTTTTAGCTACTGTGCTAGATTAGAATCAGTAATTCTTCCTTCTTCATTAAAAAAAATTGGACAAACTGCATTTAGTTATTGTTCTAATTTAAAAGAAATTTGTATTCCTGACTCAGTTGAATTTATTGGAGGATCATGTTTTATTGGATGTACACAATTAACAAGAATAACATTATCATCACGACTAACATCACTTTCTTATGACTGTTTTAGTAACTGTAGTTCTTTATCTTCAATTATTATTAATAATACTCCTGTTTCAAATTATCCATTTAATGTATCATTACTTCAATATATATATTTCTCAAAAAATAAAATTCCTTGTCATAATATTACTCTCTCTAGAGATGAAATATTTTTACTTTCTACAAGCATCCCTCGTTTAGTAAAATCTTTTACTGATAATTGTTTTAGAAATTCTATTAGTTTAATTAATATTTCAATACCTTCTTCAGTCACTTCTCTTGGAGAATATTGTTTTAAAAATTGTATTAATCTAACAAGTATTACTATTCCTTCTTCTATTTCTTCTATTCCTTCTCATTGTTTTGATAATTGTTACAATTTAAAATCTATAATACTTCCTTCTACCATAACTTCATTTGGAAGTCATAGTTTCTATGGATGTTCTCAATTAAAGTCTCTAAAGTTAATCCCTAAAGAATGTTTTGAATAAGTCTTTGATTCTTCTTTAATTGTTCACACTTCAATTTAAATAAAAAAGAATAATCAATTATGATTTACTTAGTATTTAGGTTTTCGTTATGTTGAGAAGTGAGCAAATCAAATTCTTCAACATACTTACTTTATTTCTTTTGAAATAAAGTTTTTCAATTATTTTCAAATAAATGGTTCTCATTTAAATTGTTATTTGAATTTAAATTAAAAATTTATGAGTATTAAAACTTGTTATTGTTTACATTTTTGTTTTAAGAAGAATATTTTTATCTTGCCACTTAATATATTCAATTCAAAAGTATCAGTAACAAACCTCTTTTCATCGTAATAAATATATTACTGTCATAATAAATGACTAATCTAATATCTTAACAAATATCACTTCCTTAATAATTCATAACAGTATTAATAAATACAACCTAAGCAGTGTTAAATGGAGGAGCTGTCTCATTAAAGGCAAGACTATAGCCAGACTATTACTAGGGGTTCAAAGATAGGATTTATTTTAGGGTTCTGTGTGGTATTTCTTATGTCAGTCTTTGAATCGTTCATTGTTTTAATTTAAATAAAAAAAGAACTAAAGATAAATTATTTTTGCAGTAGAACAGAAGATCAATATCTTCATAATTTAAAAATGTACTTTTTATATTAACTGTTTTAAATTTCATTTATTTTTTCTTTATAAAGAAAAGAAGAATTGGTTAAAAAATAACAAAGAAAAAATTAAAAATAGGTCTTCTATTCTTTTCAAAGAGGGATTTTAATTAGTTTTTTAATAAAAAAAATAACAATAAAAATAGTTTTAATCTAAATAAAGATTCGAATTGAAGACGTAACCAACCCTTTTAAAGTCTTTTAAACTAATTATTTTCTAATAGAGATTGCATGGGAGGAAAACCTTCAAAACAACAATTACAAAAAATTGAATATACTGGAGAACCTAATGGAACTCCATATTATTCAATTTCTGGTAATGAATTATCAGAAATGATTACTAATAAAAAAGATGAAACATTTCTCCAGTTAGGAGGTGCTAATGGTATTGCTAAATTACTTGAAACTGATGTAGATAAAGGAATTTGTGATGAATCATATAATAAAAGACAAGAACAATTTGGAAAAAATAGAACACCAGACCCTGTTCTTATTCCATTCTGGAAAATTTGGTTTGAAGCACTTCAAGATAAAACACTTATTATTCTTATTCTTGCAGCTGTTGTTTCATTGATATTAGCATTTGTTGTTCCAAATTCTACAGATAAATGTTTAACTAATGAAACAGAAGAAGATAAAGAATTTAATACTGATTGGATTGAAGGACTTGCTATTTTAGCTGCTGTATTAGTTGCTTCACTTGGATCATCTATTTCTGATTATTCAAAACAAAAGAAATTTTTAGCTCTTTCTAAAGATGAAAAAGATGTAAAAATTAAAGTTATTAGAAATAGTGAACAACAACAAATTTCTATCTTTGATTTATGTGTTGGAGATCTAGTTAATTTAGATGTTGGAGATCTTCTTCCAGCTGATGGAATTTTTGTTCATGGTAATGATTTACGACTTGATGAATCTGATATGACAGGTGAATCAGTTGCTGTTAAAAAATCTGAAAAAAGTTTCTACATGATGTCAGGAACAAAAGTTACAGATGGAAATGGAAAAATGCTTGTTGTTGCAGTAGGACCAAATTCTATGTGGGGAAAAACAATGGAAGCAGTTAATCAAAATAAAACAAAACCAACACCATTACAAGAAAATCTTGATAATATTGCTATGAAAATTGGTTATTTCGGAATGGCTGGTGGTGCTTTAGTATTTATTGCTTTAACTATTTATTATATAGTATCACAATTTACACATAATGACGTATTAAAAGCAGATGAAAAGAATGGAATTATTGAAGGATGTCTTGAATGTAATGTTACTAGAGAAGATCCAATGTGGGAACAATATTGTGAAAAATATTCATTTGATTGGAGTTCATTAACTGTTTTGATTGACTACTTTATTTTGGCTGTAACTATTATTGTTGCAGCTGTTCCAGAAGGACTTCCACTTGCAGTTACTATTTCATTAGCATATTCAATGAAACAAATGTTTAAAGATAATAATTTAGTAAGACATTTAAAAGCATGTGAAACAATGTCAAATTGTACTAATATTTGTTCAGATAAAACAGGTACATTAACAGAAAATAGAATGACAGTTGTAAATGGATGGTTTGGAGGAATTAAAATGGAAACAAGAGATCAAAAAGTTGAAATTGCTAAAGAATATGAAGAAATAATTAATATGAATATTTCAATTAATAGTTCACCATCTACATCATTAATTGAAGAAAAGGGACAAATTAATGTTATTGGAAATAAAACAGAAGGAGCATTATTAATGTATATAAAAGAAAGAGGAATTAATTATTTAGAAATTAGAAAAAGAAATGAAAATAATATTTATCAAATGTTTGCATTTTCAAGTGCTAAAAAGAGAATGAATACACTTGTTTGGATAGATAAACCAAATACTATTAGAATGTTTACAAAAGGAGCACCAGAAATGATTTTAGAAAAATGTCAATATTATATGAATGAAAAAGGAGAAATTAAAGAATTAACAGAAGAAATTAGACAAGAACTTGAAGAATGTCAAGCAGAATGGGCATCTAAAGGATATAGAACATTATCATTATCATATAAAGACATGGCACCAGCTAATCCTAATAATTTAGAAGAAAAATATGAAAGTGCTAATGAAGAAGGATCTATTTTATTAAGTTTATTTGGAATTGAAGATCCAGTAAGAAGAGAAGTTCCAGGAGCTGTTGCTACATGTCAAAAAGCAGGAATTATTGTTAGAATGGTAACAGGAGATAATATAGCAACAGCAAGATCAATTGCACAACAGTGTAATATTATTTCAAGAGAAAATGATATTGCAATAGAAGGACCTAAATTTGCAGAATTAACAGATTCAGAAATTATTGAAAAATTAGAAAATCTTAGAGTTATTGCAAGATGTTCACCACAAGATAAAGAAAGACTTGTTAAATTACTTATTAATCAAGGAGAAGTTGTTGCAGTTACAGGAGATGGAACAAATGATGTACCAGCACTTAAAGCAGCAGATGTAGGACTTGCTATGGGAATTAGAGGAACTGATGTAGCTAAACAAGCATCAGATATTGTTATTTTAGATGATAATTTTCAATCAATTGTTAATTCAGTAAAATGGGGAAGATGTGTTTATGATAATATTAGAAAATTCCTTCAATTCCAATTAACTGTTAATGTATCTGCTGTGGTACTTTGTATTATTGGTTCAGTATTTGTTGGTGAATCACCATTAAATGCACTTCAAATGTTATGGGTTAATATGATCATGGATACTTTAGCTGCATTAGCACTTGGAACAGAAAAACCAACAGATTCATTATTAGATAGAAAACCATTTGGTAGATTTGATTCACTTATTTCATTTAAAATGTTAAGATCAATTCTTTTCCAAGCAGGATATCAATTGGTTATTACATTGGCTATTGTCTTTGCTGGAAAATATATTCCATTCCTTAATGCACCATGTGGTTTTGTTAAAACTGTTGGTCATTCTGGTGGTGAAGATTTTAGTAAATATTGTGCTGGTGATAATATTGGTTTTAAGAGTATTAATGATGTTAAAAATGATACTGTTGAACTTCAAACTTTAGTATTTAATATGTTTGTCTTTGCTCAAATCTTCAATCTTTTCAATTCAAGAAAAGTAAATGGTGAACATAACGTCTTTGAAAGGATCTTTTCAAATTGGTACTTCCTTGGTATTTGTGCTGGTATTTGTGTTTGTCAAATTATTATTGTCCAATTCCTTGGTATTCTTTTCTCAGGAGTTCCATTTAGTCCATCACAAGGTCAATATGGACTTTCATGGCAAGGATGGATTGTATCAATTGCTTCTACTCTACTCACTCTTATTGTTGGACAAATTTCATTCTTTATTCCAGTTCCTACTTCTAAACCAAAGAAATTTAAGAAAGAATCAGCATCACTTTTCAGTAAAATTAAAGGTAAATTCAGTAAAAAAGAATATCAATCTATTGATAGTAGTGATGATGAATAAAATCTTGCCTATTTTGAAAAATCAATAAATTAAAATTATTTTTGGTTATTTTTTATTTTTTTTAATTTATTAATAAAATATTAAGTATTAATAGAATTTGTATCTATTGTTCCAAGTCAGTAGAGACTAAGCCATCATTGAGTCGTTCTCTAGCAGCTTTACTGAGTATGTTATATTGTGGTAGGTTCAATGTTCCATGACATCTGTCATATTCTTAATTACAAGGTTTTTGACTTCTTTTATGCTGTTAATTTCATTTTTTAATTCTTTAATTATTTTAATACTTTCTACATTTACTAATTAATAGAAATTACTATCAATTTATTTTAACATCTTTTATTTTTTCCTCTTTATCTTATTTTTTATTTCTTTATATAAATTTCTTTTCTTCAAATACCTCCACTAATGTATGATTTGCAACATTAGTCATATCAAATAATAGAAAAGTTTTATTCTTTTTATTTAACACTTAGATATATGGTATTTTATGATAACCAATCACTTTTTGGCATTCTTTGTTTTTTCAATATCATTGTGATCTCTTTATATTGGAATATTATTTCGTATGTTGATTTCTTGTATTGATGATAATTCATATAATTTGTATAAAGTAATAAAATAAGATATATTTATTCTTTATTGTTATTATTTTATATTAGATGATATTTTATTATTTTATATTTGTTTATATTGTTTGTTTATATTTTATTATTATTATTATTTATTGTTGTTTATATTATATCATTTATTTATTATGTTGTATTGATATTTAACAATGTTAATATGAAATGAATAATAATGAATAAATATAAAATAAGAATAAAAAGATATAAGAATATAACATAAATAATAAAATAAGAAATATATAATAGATATAAAGATAAAAGAAGAATAAAATAAATAAATATAAAATAATATAAATAAAATAAAAAAGAAATAAAAAAGAATAAAATAAATATTTTATTATATTTTTATTTATCTTTTATTCTTATTTCTTTTTATTATTTATTAAATTAACACAATGAATATTAATATTTCAAATAAAATAAAACAAGAATGAAATATGTACATTTTTATATTCATCATTTCATTCATTGATAGATGAAATGTTCATATTTATTTATTGATTTTATTTTATATTCTTTTTTATTTTTAGTTTTCAAATAAATAATAATGAATAAAAATCATTTCATTTCAATTACAATGATTCGTTTTGGTGTGAAACATTCTGGATCTTGTTTTCCACAAAGTGCATTTGATATTCCTTTATATTCATATGATTCTTGATAACAACATGATTTTGTTTTATCATTTTCTTTATTAACCCAAATATCATATCCATATCCAAATTTAAACAATAAACAATTAAATGATTGATTAAATAAAATAAATGCATATTGTGGTTCT